ATTGAGCTGATTTAATCCTTCTCCATTTTCATTTTCACCAGCTACTGTGATGCCATTTTGTTTCCATTTGTTGAATTTTGATTCTAGAAAAAAAAATGAAAACAAAAGATTTCGATGAAAAGTAAAAGGAGAAAATTCTGTTTTTTATTGAAGAAGAAAATATTAATTCAATGAAACTTTGATTGTGCTTTTGTCAAATTTGAATTTTGAAAAGAATTTTATTAAAAAAACAAATCATTTGAAGTTTTATATTTGAAAAAGAAAAAGAAATTCTTATCAAAAGAAATTTAATCACACAAAACTTTTTATTGTATTGTTGAATTTGGTTTATTAAAATGAAATAACGAAATATTTTATTTGAAAAGAAAAAAGCGTTTGAAATTTATATTTTTTAAAATCGAAATTTCGACGAGAAAGAGTTTTTACTGAAAGTGAATTTACTTTTTGAAACGAATTCATAAATATTTCATTTGAAAAGAAAAGAAATGAAATCGAAAAAGAGAAACGACTTTCTTGATCTTTTTTGTCAAATAAATTTAATTTTTTATTTTTATTAATACTATTCTTATTGATTTCATTTCGAGATAAATCAATCAAATTTTCAATATTTTTTTATTTTCTTCATCATCATTTTTTTTTGTTTTTATAGTTGTTTAAAATAAATTCAAAGCAAAATGAGGATTATCTAGTTAGATAGTATTTTTAAAATCTTACTTTTTGACGAAATAATTGAAACCTCATTAATAATTGATTGTGAATCTTTTTTAATTGAAATAACCGATGGATTGTTTAATTGTTCTTTAATTTCTATTAATTGATTTCTTAAATAAGTTAAACTAGTTTCATTAAATTCATTTTCTATTTGCATTTGTTGTATTTGTTCATTCAAGTCTTTAAATTTCATGTCAACATCATTAATACATGTCTGTGATGATTTAGTAACAATTTCTCTGTACTCTTGTGCTTTTTGTTGAATTTTCTCAATGGATTCGATTTCCCATTGATCAATTTCATTTATCAATGAATGATTGTGTGGATTTTGTTTTTGTTCATTAATTGTTTGTTTAAATTCATTATATTCATTGGTGATATGATGTAGTTCATTAGTTAATATATGACGATGTTCTGTTAAATCCACTAAACAAAACTCTTTTGAACATCCTTTACAAGGATATGTTATTTTTTCTTTATTACATATGAAACATAATGTTTTGTCATTTGCCATTGCCACGTCTTTGAATAAAAGTTAGTAGAAGAAATGAATATATTCGTATGTACTTGTACGAATGTTGTACTCAAAATTAAAA